GGGGGGACACACGTGCAGATCTGTCCTCGCAGAGGAGGGAGAGCTTGTACCTGAATAAAACTCGGTCTTAAAGGTGCCACTGGACTGTTTTGGACGGGAGGGAGGAGGGCTCTGCAACTTACCTGACTGCTTCTTGCTCTGACTGAGGGCTGCTGGGAGCAGGGGGTGGGGCTTGTTGCATGTGCCTGCCCCCTGGGCTCTTTACCGCCGGAGCTCTGCTCCTGTGCGCTCCTGCAGGAAATGACCCCTGTATATGTGTGTGTGTGTGTATATAGCTTAAAAATGCTATATATCTGTCCAGTTGCTAAACAGACATACAGCTGGGGGAGGTGTGTGAAGAAGAGGGTAACAGCAGACATGCAGGCCCCAAGGAGGGAGTTTAATCCTTCCTTCCTGCACAGTTTTTCAGTGTGGCACCAGATTGGTCTGGGTGGGCAACTTCTCTCTGCAGGTACTATCTTCTGGGTGATGAAGTACTCTCTGCAGGTACTTTCCGGGCACTCTGGAACTTTTCACCACCCTTCCTAAAGTGTTACATGCTTTCCAAAGGGGAACACCTCATAGAGAACCCAAGATCTGAAGTTCTGTGTGGCATAGGGGTGTGTAATAATAATAATTGGTGTCTTTCAGCTCGGGTCCATTGGACCCAAAAACATTTCGGTATTTCCAATAAATCCTGGATCTCAACACCCAAGAGGAAAAGTACCAATAAAAAAAAGAAAAAAGCTCACTCACCCCTGAGGTTGGCTTGGCTTTTCCGGCAGTGCAGTTTTAACCACGCCACAGGAGAAGCTGGCCCCAGGATCTGCATGTGGCGGGAAGGTCTCTCCCTGCTGCATGCAGACCTGACCGGAAGGGCTTCTCCTATGGTGCAGTTTAAACCACACTGTAGGAGAAGCTGGTCCCAGGATCTGCTTGCGCAGGGATGTCTCTCCCCGCTGCCCGCAGACCCAGCTGGGAGGGCTTCTCCTGTGATGCAGTTTAAACTCAGTTCTCAGCTCCTGCTGATCCTTGGCTGGCTCCTCTTGCAGCTCAGTTTAAACCGAGCTGTAAGAGAGGATCAGCGGGGGTGGAAGGAGCTAAGAGCTCCATGTTGCCTTGGCTGCAACTCGGTTTAATCAGCTGGGGTGGCAGGAGCCGTCTCTTCTTGCAGTTCAGTTTAACCCGAGCGGCAAGAGGAGCCAGCCCCAGCCGAGGCGGTGCAGAGTTCTCAGCTCCTGCCACCCATTCGGTATAGCTGAATATACCCAAATAAAAGCCAAAAAAAAAATCAGCTTTTATTTGGGTTCAGCTATACTGGTAGCCAGTCAGGTTCTCTGAGCCCATTGGGGAGGGCGGGGTATAAATGCGAAAATAAAATAAAAAAATAAATATTTGGCTTAAATAATACGGGTAAGGTATTTTTTGGGTATTTTTCTGGCTTGGTTTATGCCAAATGCATACCACTAGTATGGCAGCTCTATCCTGGCTGCCAGGGAAGCTATTATGGCTCTAGTAAGTGAACCGTACCTGATCACTTCACAGTTGAGGCAGCGGACATCCCCCTCTCCCCACCTCCAGCTTCTTTGGCCCTAACTTTTCTGGTCAATTGTCCATCAGTGACCTGCTTCTGATTAGTCATCTGACAATTTTATAGTTACACGGTATTTTACGATTTTATCTGTAAACTGTTATTTTAATACTGTTTTAATTGTATATTTAACTGTTGTACACCACCCTGAGCCCATTGGGGAGGATGGTATATAAATCTATTAACATAAATAAATAAAAATAAATACTTGCCAGAGGTGGCCAGGTAAGTGGTACGTTGTAAACAGATTAACCTGGTAGATGAGAAAAGACTGTATCTATTTCCTTTTTTTTTTCTAGAGTGGCAAACTTGTTACTAAAATGTTCCAGAAGATTCATGAATTCATTGATGACAAAGACACCCTTGTGTTTGTGCTGATTGATGAGGTATGACAGTAGTATCCATTTTACATTGAAAACTTACAGCGATACAAAACATTTGTGTGGCAATAACACGGCTACAGTATTTTGACTGTATTTCTGTCTGTCAGGAAGATCATTGTTTTACTTTATTAGAGTATTTCAAATGCACTTCCACTTTTGTGGGGCTTTTGTTGAGAAAGATGGTAGAAGGCAAATTATTTCATGGGGTATACAGACGCTTCTAAGCATGGCTGAATGCTGAGTTTGTTCTACAGAGATGCTCTGCGAATATAAAATGGAGACGTTGTGCATGCATTAAATGCAGTATTGTGTTTGGATTATGGTTCTTTGTGAAACTGACTCCTCTTTTTTTGGGGGGGGGTGTAGGTGGAAAGTCTGACGGCCGCACGTAACTCTTTCCGGGCGGGTACTGAGCCTTCCGATGCCATCCGTGTGGTAAATGCAGTCTTGACACAAATTGATCAGATCAAAAGGTAACATTCCTGGTATTAAAAGAGTAGAAATTGCTAAGGAGACTTTCTGGAGACAAAATATCCCTCTTGTTCCTTTGCAAAAATAAAACTGCTTGGGAAGATATCAGGTTGGGAAACGAGTAGAATTAAAGAGCAGTCACGGGGGGGGGTGAGAGAATAGGTTTTATGATAGACTGCTTTACAGTCTTTAATTTGAATTGTTCTTCTGATAGTTAATTAACAAACATTGTGTTGTATTTTTTTCTATATAAAAGCTTAGGTTAGTTGTCCTAGAAAAGAGCAAGAGTCCAGTAGCAGCTTGAAGACCAACAACATTTGTGGCAAGGGATGAGCTTTCGTGAGACACTGCTCTCACAACATCAGCTATATCTGAAGAAGTAAGCAGTACCCTGCCACAAATTCGGTTAGTCTTCAAGGTGCTGCTGCACTCTTGCTCTGCGTCTTCTGCTGCAGACAGACGAACACGGCTGCCCATCTTGGTTAGTTGTCCTGTAAGAAAGAAATGTAGAATCTTAACCCACAATGCATTTCAGATAATCTCTGCAATGATTTCTTCCTATGAAACTGGAGCTTGAAGACTTTGGTCATCCTCTGATAAGAATCTGGGTACACTCGAGAATTTTTCAAAAATGTTAGCTGGGTCGGGGCAGGCGACGTCTGTCCGCAGGCAGTATGCACTCCTTGGCTAGTTTTGTGCAGTCCAGGTGTTTTTTGTAAGCCAGTTTGGTGTAGTGGTTAAGTGCGCGGACTCTAATCTGAGAGAACCGGGTTTGATTCCCCCACTCCTCCACTTGCACCTGGCTGGATGACCTTGGGCAAGCCGTAGTTCTGATAAGAGCTGTTCTTGAAAAAAGAGCAGTTTCTGTCAGAGCTCTCTCAGCCCCACCTACCTCACAGGGTGCCTGTTGTGGGGAGGGGAAGGGAAAGGAGTTTGTAAGCTGCTCTGAGACACCTTTGGGTAGTAAAGGGCGGGGTATAAATCCAATCTCTTCTCCTCTTCTTCTTCTAAATCCTCAGTTTTAATTTTTTTAAAAAATAATGACTTGGTTCCCACACTAAAGTTTTGCAAGCAGAAGGGGTGGGGGGATTTTCACACCCCCAACTA